GCTCACCTGGGGGTGTCTGGTGCTCACCTGGGGGGCCTGGCGTTCACCTGGGGTGTCTGGTGCTCACCTGGGGGTGTCTGGTGCTCACCTGGGGGTGTCTGGTGCTCACCTGGGGGGGGCCTGGCGCTCACCAGGGGAGCCTGGCACTCACCTGTGGGTCCTAGAGCTCACGTGGAGGCCCTAGTACTCACCTGGGGCCCTGGTGCTCACCTGTGGGGTTGGCAGGGATGTCCAGGATGGTCTTCAGCAGCTTCATGTCCTTGATGTTGTGAATGTAAATGGAGCCCTCCAGGCAAACCAGCAACCTCTGCAAGCACACAGACGCATCAGGCCAGGGGCCCAGGCCTGGAAAGGGTGCTGGCCAAACCCGAACCCCATCTCAGACAAGCCCTGACTGGACCCCGGGATTCTGGGAGAAGGCGCTCTGACGGGGCTTTGAAGACCGCATTTCTGTACGTGCACATGCTAGTATCTGTCACTACTCACCCGCTCGTAAAACATGAGATCTGAAGACTGTTTTATTTTGAAATAAAGACTGATTTACTTTGTACTTCCCTCTTTTTAATGAGGACAAAGATTCCTGAACGCCCCCGGGCCACACTCCTTCTGATGACTTCCGGGCCCTTTCTGATTCCTGGTCTCCCCATCTGACCGGTTCCCTTTGCAATGTCCATCATGCAGTCCACCCCCAACATGGATGTGGGTTCTTTGCTCTCTCGCTTTGCCCTTCTCCTAATAAGCACTAGCTCTGACTTCTTCCCACTCCATCTCCCCAGCCTCACCCGTGTGCCCCTCCCTCCAGCCCTGGAGCCCAGAGATCCCTGCTTGGCCCTGTGCGGCCATCTCATGCCGAGGTCCCTGGGTACAGCCTGCTGAGGGCCTGGGAGCACAGCTCCTTTGTGAGTGCCCTTCCCTGCTCCTTTCCCAGGACCACAAGGGTCCCCAGGTGTGTAGAGTGGTTGTGCTTGGCTTCCAACCAAACGGTGGTATCAAGGAAGAGAAGCCTGGTCGTTGCCTTGCTTGGCCTCGACAACAAATCCCTATGGAGCAGTTCGACTCTCACACCTGAGGTCGCCATGAACTTGAACCAGCTTGACAATAATAGGGTTTTCCCCTGCCTTTCTGCCAATGGTGACGCTGTCTGCTCAGTGGTCACAGGCCCCGGGGGCTTTCTGCGCTGGGGTTTAAAGGAACATAACATCACGTCCAGCAGAGTGCACAGTGCGGGGTCCTATGAGAAGTGGCGGCAGAGGCCCCATGGGTCTCCAGCTCATTCCACACTGAGAAGTCGCCCACTCACTACCCCCGCACGAGGGCCTGGCCTGGTTCCCTCCAGCCGGGTAGTGTCAGGATTTGATGACCGTGGAGAACAAGGCCTGGCCTCCTGCTGGTGATTCTGATTTGAGGAGCCCTCAGGTGCATGCAAAGGCTGATCAGTGCATAAAGAAGACCACAGAAAACGGATGTGCCTTTGAATTACAGTGTCGCAGAACAACAATAAACACTGTCACAGATGGAACTGTGTCGCTTTACCCCCTGGCCCCCCACAACCTGGGATATGTGTGCACTTGGCTGGTCTGTGCTTCTCGGTATAATCATATTATTGTAGATCAAGGAGCGCTTCCTAGGGAGCTCTGGTGGCCTAGTGGCAAGACGCTGCACTGCAATCCCAGAGCTACACGGTTCAAATCCACCAGATGCTCTGCTGGAGAAGGAGGGGGGGAAAAAAAGGAGAGCTTCCTTCTGCTGTACACAGGGCTGCTATGGGTGGAGTGGTCTTAGGAGTTACTGAGGCCAGCAGGACTCATAGTGACCATAGTGACCCTGTGAGCAACGGCCCTGAACCCTGTCCCCTCCTGTGCCGTCCTCATCAGCTCTGATACATTCGAGCCCATGGCTGCAGTCTCTGTGTCAATCCATCTCATTGGGCGCCAGCTGCCATCCAGACTACTCTGTGACGTCCTTGAAAGGGACAGCACACAGTGGACTCGATGGCACCCAACAGCGTTGATATTAATGAGGTGGGACTTGCGGCATGTCCCCGTGATGCGATCTGACACGTGATAAGCCAATGGCTTGTAAGGGGATTAGGGTGAGATGCAACGTCCTTAATTAGGTCACAGCCCTGATCTGATTAAAGGGGGCATTTCCCTGGGGTTAGGTCTGTAAGATATTTTATCTCCCAAGAGATAAAAAGAGAGAGAAAGTGAGCAAATTGGGGGGGTGGGGGAACACCTCAGTGACATCAAGAAAGAACAGACAGGGAGCATCTTTTGGACCACAGGCCGGTGCTGGAACTCTCCTTGACTCAGGGGAAGGCCAAGAGATATGGAGACCACTGAGGAATGCTGGGTCTACAGATGCTGGAGGAAATGGGGCCCTCCTCCAGAACCAACGCAGAAAGCCTTCGACTGCCAGCACCCCAAATGTGGACTTCCAGCCACCTAAACTATAAGACGACAAGTATTTGTTTAAATCACCCACTTGGTATCTCAGTTACAGGAGCCCAACATATTTAAGGAAGGACCGATGGCTTGGAATCGTGGTGCTTGTGAAGAGTATTGATCAGACCAGGGACGTTAAAAGCACAAACAAGACTATCTTGGAGGAAGTGCAACCAGAGAGCTCCTTACAAGCAAGGATGGTGAAACTTCGTCTCACATACTGTGGGCGCATCAGGGGGGCCAGTCCGTGGAAAAAGACAGTATGCTTAGAAAATGGGACATCAGCAAAAGAGAAGATCCTCAATGACATGGACTGACCGTTCAACAATGGGCCTGCACACTGCACAGATTGGGAGGAGGACGTCAGATGGGACAAGGTTTTAACCTGTGGGTCGTAGGGTCATTGTGAGTTATAGTTGATTTGACGGGTTGTGCTCGGCTGGAAGGCAATCAACAACAACAAGAACAAATTAAGACACTCACACATTACCGGAAGAGTAAATACACTTGTCTTGGCCACCAGACCACTCCCCGGACAGCAAGGCTTTGTCTCATTTACTCAGATTCTCAGAAGGGGCCAGTCCCTGGAGACGCACATCAGCTTTGGCCAACTAGTGGGTCCAAGGAAAAGAGGCATGAGGAATCTCTTCATTGAACTTGACTGACAGAGTGGCCACAGCTGTGGAGGTGAGCACAGCAATGACCTTGAGAGGATGCAGGAGCGGGCAGTGCTTGCCCTGCTGTACGCAGGGTCATTATGTGTTAGAACTGACCGGAACAATCAGCACACACCCAGGGGATTCAGGCGTTCACCAAGGAGTGAGAACTGCTGCTCCCGTGCCAGACCCTTTCATTCCAAGGCAGGACAATTAGAAAGAAAAGACTCTAAAATTACTACCAAAAGCTGCAAGATCTCCATTTGGGTAGCGCCTGCCCTCCCTCTTTCCCGACCAGACTTATCACAGCTCAGGAAAACGGAGACAAGCGACTTGCAGCTGACAAGAAAGCACTTGCAGGTGACAGGAAAGCCAAGTAGGAACACCTCGCTCAGTCTGAACGCAGGGTCTGCAGCCGTCAGTCTCAGGCTGGGAGCTGGAAGGCATGAGAATTTTCCTAAGGTCTCAAATTAATGACAAGAAACACTGGTGTTTCTCTCAAACACTCAAACTCAAACTCTGGTTGACCTGGCACTTATTCTTCTTGCGGTGTGTGCACTGGCCCGTGGTGACGTCGTGGGTAACACAATGACCCTGCCCTGCTCTGGTTCACTTCCATTTGAGCTCACTGATGTGGTCCTCCGTCAACCTGTCTCATTGAGGGTTTTCACTGGTCCTCTACCCAACCAAGTGTAGGACCCTGCCTTCTACCTGGTCCTTCCCAACGTGACCGAGTGTGATGACATTATGCATTTACGCTTCTGACACCGTCCTGAATCTCACCCCTCAGTCCCCCATTCTAGGGTCCACCACACATGCCCTGTGGCCGGAGCAGCTCCTGTCCAGTGAGCCTGGCCTTCTCTGGATCTATCCCCCAGCCCATCAGCAGCCCTGATCCATGGCCTGGTCTGCTGACTCTTGGCTTAGCCCTTGCTGGCAGCAGACGAGAGCAAAATGAGGGGGAAGAGAGAATAACGAGAAGGGAAGAGGAAGAAAGCACATCCCGTCAAGCTCAAGTGAGGGTGCGCTGCCTCTGTTGTGGTCCATTGTTGTCGAGTCAGCTGGAACTTACAGAGACCACAGGCAGCAGAACAAAAGGATGCCCAGGTTTGTGTGTCATCTTCACAGGCAGCGGTCAGCTGGCGCCCACGGCTGAAGCCACTGTATCTTTTGAGTGTCTTCCAGCCTACAAGCCTCAGCCACCAGCACTATTCCGACCGTATCTTTTTGACTCACAGGGTTTTAACTGGATCCTTGAGGAGCTCTCCCGGTAGCTCACAGGGAGTTGCATCTCTAATTCAAAGGCCACACCTCTCTGGCAGTTCAGAAGGGCCAGTCTCTCCAGGTGAGAAAAGTTGGCTATCTCATGATTGACAGCCTCAAGCACAATGGAGGGACAGCTGAGTCTGTTGTGACTCAACTGCAATAAATTCTTGAGGTAAGAATTGGATCATTTACAGAAGTAGATCCAAGCCTGTCTTAAAGTGGAAGTTCTCTGAAATCTGCCCACCATGGGTGACCTGACTGGCTCTGTATGAAGGAAACAGTGATTTTGTCTGTACACAAATCCTCAGTCTTTTCCTGTTTTTTGTTTCTGGAGTTTTGGTTGTTTCTGGTGTTTTTTTTTTTTTTTTTTTTTGGTTGTTTTTTTTTAAAGGAAGTTTAGTATCTGAAGCTCTGATGAAATCGCAGGCTGGCCACCAGGGCTTATAACATGTCTCTCTGTGCCCCTAGTTGGCCGAGGGTGGAGACCCGCGGACTGAACCACTTCCTGGGAAGAAGAGGCTGCAGCAGGTATTTAATGCTTCTTTTCTAGGGTCAAAAGTTCTTAAATCCTAAACTTGAAAGTTTCAGGGAAAGCAAACCCCAGAGCTCTTTCTAAACATGTTTCAAATCACCTGCTTCCTTAGAAATGCCAGAGGCTTTGAGCACTGTCAGGCTGGGCTCTGATTAGCTGTCCTTCATTGCTGGGCATTCTAGGGACATTCACAGCCTTTAGCAGATAGGGGATGAGAATCGTAACACTAAAGAGTGTTGCTGAGGAGAGGAATCTCTGAGCGGTGCAATAGTTAATGTGCCCGCTTGCTAACCAAAAGGTTACAAGTTCAAGTCCACGCAGGGATGATTCAGAAGGAAGACTATTTTTAAAAAATCTGCCATTGAAGACTTTAGGGAGCTTTGTTCTCTTCCGGCACATGTGGGGTTGCCATAAACTGGAATGAGCTGGTTTTACCGTGAGACGAAGCCCACACTTGGCGATTAACCAGACAGACAAAGACACCTGACTAATACTCCACTGCCTCATTTGTTAATTAAAATATTAGAGCGTGAATGAGGAAGAAATCAGACAAGTAGAGACTACAGATGCTATCTGAGTTGTCTGATCGTGTTTACCCTGTAGAGCTTTGCCCACACCATCTTATAAAAATAATGGGGGTGGGGGGAAGTCAATTAGCCCCCATATACCAGCTACTAGCATATGTTGTTGTTGTTCTGTGCCGTCGAGTGTGACTCATAGCGACCCTATGTACAACAGCCCTAAACTCTGCTCTATCCTGTGCCACTGTCTCTGACACACCTACCCCCATTACCCCAGTCACTGAATCAATCCACCTCATGAAGGGTCTTCCTCTTTTGCGCTGTCCTTCCACCCTCCCAAGCATGACGTCCCTCTCCAAGGACTGGTCTCTCTTTAAAACACGTCCAAAGGATGTCAGACGAAGATTCAGAATCCTTGCCTCCAAGGAGCAGCCTAGTTTCACCCTCACCAGGATGAACCTGTTTCTTCTCCTAGCAGTCCACGGTATATTCAACACTCTTCTCCAGCACCACAGTTCAAAGGCATCAACTCTCCTTCTATCATATACACATACAAAGATAAATAATTCTGCAACAAAATTCAGTGGGCTGCCAGCAGATTTTAGCAAGGGTGTCCGAGCTAACAACTTCACTTAACAGCCTTCAGGTGGCCAATTCTCCAACTGCCTTTCCCTCCCTTGCCAAGGACTGGGTTATTTTCTCTTTGTTTCTATTCTTCCTCACTCAAAAAATCTCCACATTCTATTTTTTGGCTATTTTCTACCGCACTGCGTTGTACACACGTAAGTGGATCGAAAGAGTTGATCATGGTAGACACACACACCCAGTGGAATATTCTTTCTCTCTCTCTCCTTCCCCTCCACCTGGAACTGACTCACAGCTGACCCTCCACTGGGTCTCCGAGGCTGTAAATCACACAGGAGGAGATTGCCCATCCTCCTCTCCAGGCGCCAGTGGTGGATTTGAACTGCTGGAGAGGCATGGCCCTTGAGTGAGGAATGAAACTCTCTACGGACTGTACCATCTGCTTTCCTGACAGGCTTCTGAAGCAACATCAAGATCCTCATTCTCTCAGCGAAGGCCGCCAGCTAGAAGGAAAGCCACTGCTAGGGCCAAAACTCTTTTTCATGGAGCCTCTACTTTTCCAAGCATGACGTCCTCTGTCAGGGACGGGCCCCTCCAAAAGAAGACCCTCAACGGGACGGACTGCTGCAGTGACCCCAACAACGGACTGAAACACAGCAGAAACTGTGAGGATGGCTCAGGAGGGGTGGGGATTGTTCCAGTGCACACAACGTCACTGTGAGCCGGAGGCACCTAAAAGATTGACGCTGTCAACAACTCCATCTCACCTGGGTCCAGGGGACCTATTGCATTGGGCAAGTCTGCAGTCAGGGACCTGCTCAAATTACTGTGGAGCAATGATGTCAGTTTGAGGACTAAGGTTCACCTGAGTTAGGCCACGGTCTTTTTCAATCACTTGCTATGCATCAGAAAACTGGACAGTGAATAAAGAAGATATAAAGAGAATTGATGCCTTTGAGCTGTGTGGTGTTGGAAAAGAGCACTGAATATCTCATGGACAGACAAAACAACATAGAGATCTGTCTTGGAGAAGGAACAACCACGGTGCCTGGAGGCAAAGATGACAAAGTTTCGCCTCACATACTTTGGGCACGTTGCTAGGAGAGGCTTTTCCTTGGAGAGGGACATAATGCTTGGAAAGGTGGAGGGTCAGTGAAAGAGAGGAAGACCCCCAACAAGATTGATTAACCTAGTAACTGCAGCAACGGGCGCAAGTGTGTCAGAGACGATGAGGATGGCACAGGATAGGTCAGGGTTCAGATCTGTTATTTATATGGTTGCTATGAGTCGTACGTGACTCGATGGCACCTAACAACAATAAAGGCCCAAACCGGAAGGAGTATTGTTCTAGTCTAAGGCTGTGGCTTAGGGTGTTCAGACCACTGGGAGGAGGCTCACTAGACAGTGGCCACTGTTGGAGAAAGAATGTGAAGCAGAGGACCCACCAGAAAAAACAAGAGTGTGGAGTAAAACGGCCCTCCGATTAACCAGCTTCCATGGAGGCTAATGTCAACTCTAGAGGACCCCTGTGTTTCAGAGCAGAGCCGTGACCTTCTGCATGTAGATCTCCAAGTCCTCCTGCTTTGGCGCCTCGGGGTAGTGTCGAAGCTCCAACCTTTTGATTACCAGCCAAACGCTCACTGACTCGTGCCACCCAGAGACGCCTCCTGCAACATTCGGGCTGAGCAGCAAAATCCTCTCTAGGATGTGACACTCGTTCTAAAGGCATCCCGTAATTTTCCCACTGAGGGTCACAGGAGCCCTGAGGGTCAGCCCCGCCCACCTGCCGGTTGAGCCGTATGGACAGGATGTTGCTGGCGTAGCTGTAATTACAGATCTCCGTGCCCTTCTTGAAGTGGTACACGTTCATCTGCCGCGGCTTCGTGTGACTCACCACCACCACCAGGCTGCTGGAGAACAGACGCTCCACGATGTACACGTCCGGGATTTCATCTGTAAGGGAGAGAGGCAGAGGTTACGGGATTGCGCCTGGGAGGGAGGCTCAGCTGACCCAGCTCCTCAGCTCTAGCACTGCTGACCTCATGGCTTCCACCAGTTGAGTGTCAAGGATCAGTTTTTCCAGAAGGGAGCAGTTTTTCCTAAGGGAGCAGTTTCAAACAAACAAACAAACAAACAAACAAAAAGGCAACTTAATATGGTGCAACCACTGTGGAAGGCAGTATGGCAGTTTCTCAAAAAGTAGCAAATAGAATTTGACCCAGCAATTCCACTACTGGGAATATACCCCAAAGAGACCATAACTGCCACTCAAGCAGATATATGCACACCCATGTTTATCACAGCTTTGTTAACAATAGCAAAAGATTGGAAACAACGTAAGTGCCCATCAACAAACGAATGGATAGAGACGCTGTGGTATATTCACACAATGGAATACTATGCTGCAATGAAAAACAAGGAACTCATGCAATATTATTCAAAATGGGTGACCCTGGAGGACATTATGCTGAGTGAAGTATCTCAGTCACAAAAGGGCAAATACTGCATAGTGCCACTGTTGTAAAACGGGACTGACCTCGGGGTTGGGGAGAGACTGAGAAAGATGGGATAAATTATGTATACAGCATTGAAACAGATGAGGGGGAGAACTCTTTAAAAGGGATATGTGATTAGGTATTATCGTCATGACAGGAGTCCAGAATGAAGGCTGCATAGTGGAGTGGACTTGGGGGGAGGGATTGTATAACAAGAAAAGAATTTGTCTTTTACTTTTCAAAGAGAAGAGTGAACTAGGGGGGAGAGAGGTGGGCAGGGAGAAAAGTGCAACAGTGAATGAATGGAAATCCAAAGTATCTGGAAACTTTCATTAAAATGAATAATAATTAAAAAATAATTTAAAAAAAGCCCAAACCCAGTGCTGTGGAGTTGACGCTGGCAACCCTTGTTGCTGAGAGCGGGGTAGGGAGTTCCAGGGCGGCCTCTTTGTCCCCTGAACCGGCTGAACCCCTCACTCCCCTCTGGATCCCCTTTCCTCCTGAAAACAGCCTGCGTATCAGCCTCATGACCAGATGCACTTCTGGATTCAGGAAGGATGGAAACGAATACGTCTCCTGAGTGACTGCAGGTGCAGCCTCTGGCTCTCTGAGAACATATTTTTCAAGTGCATGTTCATGTCTGGGACGACACAGACCAAGACAGAGCAAAACAGTCATGATATCCGAAACAGACCCTGACAAGTAGATTAAAGTCGATGGGTGCTGTCAAATCCACATACAGCAAACCCGCGTGACGGGACAGAACTGTCTCACAGGGTTTTCCTGCTGTCATTTGTAAAGAAGGACATTGCCAGTGCACCCTCTGTGGAGCCCTAGGTGAGTTCAAACTACTAACCTTGAGTTTACAACTGGCCCCTTAATTATGCCATCAGGGCCCCACTCAGTGTTTCCCTATCCGCTGCCATCAAGGACATTCTGACCAATCATGACCGTCTCTCAGCTTTCTGATGCTACAAATCTTTACTGGAGGAAACAAACCGTCTTTCTTCAAAGGAGCAGCTAGTGGATTTGAACCAATGACCTTTTGGTTAGTAGCATAACATATCACATATTATACCACCAGAGTTCGTTTTAAATAAATTTGGAGATACAAATTTTATTTACCAAACCATTCTGTTTCTAGGAAACCCAAAGGCTGTGTTCCTTGCCCTCAGGAAAGAAGAGAGATACATTTCTAAGCTTTTATTTTGGGGAGGAGCTGACCTACTAAGTTAAGTGTCTCTGATGTATAAACATAGCAGCATTATGTTATTAAAATAAAGGAAATACTTGCAAGGCCAAGTGTGAACAAGCATCCCACCATGTCAACATAATGGCACAAAAAAGTATCACCAGTGACCTTTTGGCGGATAATGACAAAAACTGACGACCGTGCATTTATGTGTGTGAGAAAATGGTAACAGTGTGATTTCTAATAAGTGGCTACAGACTCCAAGATGAGGTTACGGACAAGACGGCCAGATTTTAATAGGTGCTTTGTTATGGTTTTCTCAAGCCAGAGGAGGCAATGCTTTCTATTTCAATCTGACAAGCCCGCCTCCTGAAGCATGCCAGGCCAGGCAGGGGAGAGCTGCAAGCTCCTAGCACGGTGCCCACAGGCTGGAGGGAGAGCACGGTGCTGTGATCTCCAAGCACTTACTGCTTCCATGGACTTGGTCCAGTCGCTCCACAGAACTCAAGGAAAACAGCTTATAACCGGCTTTGGTTCCAATCGCCAGGGATCTGAGGAAAGATAATGACAGTGTGGGAATGACAGCAGGCCTGGGCCCTAACCACAGAGCTGCTAGAAGATAGGCATCCCATTGTCCTGCTCCCCCAACCCTGCCTCCTTTTCATCTGATGATGTCAGCTCCTGGTGACCATGTGTGTGGAGCAGAGATTGCATGGCTGTGACATGTGGGAAGTAGTTCACCAGAACTTTCTTCTGAGCAGGTTTGGGACCATCAATCTTCCAGTTAGCAGCCAAGAGCAATTCTTTAGTGTCACCCAGGGATCTAGGGCACGCATGTTGCGGTTAGTTGCGGTTGGATTGATTCTGCCCCGTGTTGACTCCACGTCTGCATAGGGCTCTCAAAGCTGTGTCTTCCGAGGTGTCCCTGTTGTTGTTGTTAGGTGCCGTCGAGTCGAGTATGACTCATAGCGACCCTGTGAACAAAAGAGCTGAACCCTGTTCTATCCTGTGTCATCCTCACACTTCCTGACACATAAGAGCCCATTGCAGCAGTCACAGCGTCAATCCACCTGGTTGAGGGTCTTCCTCTCCTTCTCCGACCCTCTACCCTTCCCAGCATCATGTCCTCCAAGGAATAGCCCCTTCTAGCAGCATGCCCCAAAGCATGTGAGGCCAGGTGTCCTTAGGTGGATTCAAACCTATTACTTCGAGGGTAGTAGTAGAGTGTTCAATCACCTTTAATCACACAGCCATCTACAGTAGGCATGCTGTGGTCAAGCTGATTCTGACACCTAGCAACCCTGGAGGCCCGAGCAGCAGCCCCCCGCAGGGTTCCAAGTCTGGCATCTTTCTCCTGAGGGGCATCTGGTAGGTTTAGAACCACTAACCTTTCCGTTAGCAGCCAGTCATTTAACGTTGTACCACCAGGGCTCACTGTGGTGCTCTGCTGTTTCTAAGTCAATTCTGAGTCCCAGTGATTCCAGGAAGGAGCAGAATGGCCCTGCGTGTCCCCTCGGCTGTCACCTCTACAGAAGCAGACCGCCTGCCACGTCCTTCCCTGCTGGTGGGTTCCAATTACCGACTTTTGGGTTGGCAAGCATAGGGCTTTAACCACGGTGGCACCAGGGATGCTCTAACTGGTGAAATCTCGTCCCATGTCCTTTCATCAGTTTAAAAAGATGAACACATCCTGGGTACCTTTTCCGCGTGCTCTCCTCTCCACACACGTTACATCTACCTGCTGACGGACTGTCTGACCCTCTCCCCCAACCCTGAACTTTTTCACTTCATTTCATTTTTTCAAAGTTCTTCCAGGACCATGTTCAACTAGGGTTAAGACGTCTGCTGTTTAGTTCGTTCCACAAAACCTACCACAAAACAAAAATTCAGGGAGCTCTGGTGGCCTAGTGGCAAGGAGCTGCAACTACAATCCCAGAGGTGCGTGGTTCGAACCCACCAGATGCTCTGCCGAGGAAGGAGGGACAATCTCCTCCTGTACCAGTCAGATCTGATTTGACGGTACACACACACACACACAAAATAATAAAAATAACATAAAAAAAAAAGAAAGCAAAGTCTGACTGGAGTATTTATGGACCTTAAACTGTAAACCCTTACACCTTCCACATTTAAACGGAATCTAGGGAGAGGTTTGTTCTTCCCAGAGGAGTGTAACCTAAAATTAACTTGCTAGTCCCAGCCTGGCTGGCTAAGGCTCTGGTTTCACTAACCTGAAAACAGAGGTTTCGTGTTTACCCCTGGATTTCTTGTTCCTTACCCAAATATTTATTCTAATCTGAGACGCAGCATTAGATGACTATGGCCAACTTTCAAACTGGAAGGTGGCTGGTTCGATGCTTTGGCCCTCCAGCCAGCTAAGTAGTTGAACTGGTTAAGATATTGTCACAACAGCTGCTGGTCCAATCAGCTCTGGGGTTTGGCATCAACATCCCCCTCTCCCCAAAGCATCATCCATCACAAGCAGCAAGGGGAGAAGCAAGGTGGCAGCACCTCCAAATTTCCCACCCTGTTTTCAAACTTTCTCCCCATACACCTTTTCACAGAAATAAATATGTTCGTAGTTAGTTACAAGCTGGGATTTGTACAGTTTGCAAGTCAAGGACAAATGAACCCTTAACGAGACTCTTAGAACATTAAACAAACAAGTTAGCAATTTCATTTTCAAACATAGGCCCCATTCCTGGGAGAGAAGTTTACATGTGAGAAAATGGTTACGTGTATAGTGTGATTGTTTTAAAGGCTTGATCAATAAATAAAAAAAAATAATTACTGAATCAAGGAATTCAGACTTAGCTCTTAGATTATGCATAAGGTTTTCTCTAAGAAGAAAACATAAATCTTGGTATCTCTTAGGCTGAAAGGGTTTGGGAGACATATAATTAACCAAAAGAAAAGGTGTCCCCAGAGTGTCAAATCCTGAGCCACACAACAAAATATGAACATAGGAGAAAGATTTGTGCATTTACCTATCTTCTCCAAGCATGCAAGATCTCAAGTGACTTTTAGTGGGGAAAAAAAAATCGCCCTGCTATCCCTAAATGGATTCACTAAGGGGCTTGACTTATTTTAAAATCCAATGTCATACCCGCCAAGGCTCACAGTGACTGCCTCTGACAAGAACTTTTATTTATAGTTAAGACAGAGTTGCCCAGCAGAGCCCTTATCCAAGAAAATAGAACCAAGGAGAAGTATTTTCAAAGCACTCTACAGTTTGGAATAGAACATTCTCATCCAATTGCTACAGATGGTGGGGGTCCCACTCTGTTTTATTTGACCACTGGAGCCAACGTGAATGTGGCTTTTGAAAAATCTGATGGCCAATGCTACAAAGCAAAGAACTGTGAACACAGACTGCTGACAAAGAAAGAAATGCCCCTCTTGAGCCTATCTTGGGAAGGAAAACCATGTAGATGCATTTCAACAGTTCTACCCTCTTGCAAAATGTTTCTTACAAAACATAAGAATGTTATCTAGACTATCCCTGTTTTAAGATAAGTCTCAGTAAAGGAATGGATCTTAAAAATAATTTTGTGGAACATCAGCAATTTTGTATTTTTTTTTTTTAAATAAAAATACCAATATGTTTACGGCATTGAAGTCTATGGGGGAGAGAATAGTCTAAAAGTATTATATTTTAGGGCATTATTTTTATCGTAGGAGTATGCAATGAGGGTAGGGGGTGGGGTTTGGGGGAGGTGGGGGGGGATTGCGTACCAATGAGGGAGTTTTTCTTTTGCTTTTCAAGGAGAGGAGCAAGGGGGGGGAGGGGGGAGCAGTTTGTGCAGGGAGAAGGGTGCAACAATGAATGAATGGAATTCCAAAATGTCTGTAGATGTTCATTGAAATGAAAAATAAACAAACTAAATTAATTAAAAAAAATACCAAAAGCATATCACAGTAAAGGGAAATGGTATTTGGTGAATTGCTTCCCAGTGATATTAGACATAAATAAGAGCCCCAGTGGATAAGGGCACAGTGGTTGGAATTCTTGGTCACTACACAAAAGGTCAATGGTGTGAACCCACCAGCTCCTGGGAGGAAAGATGTGGCAGCCTCCTCTTGTTAAGATTACAGCCTTGGAAATGCTGTGGGCAGTTCAACTCCCTCTCATAGGGTCACTAAGATCCTGTAAGGTCACTCACTGTGAATCAGAAATGAACAGCAATGGGTCTGGCTGTTTGGGTTTTTAAATATATAAATGAGGGGTGTTAATCGATGCTGTCATCTACATTTCTTCGGTGGGCTGTGGGCAAGAAAAACTTGAAAGCCACTCATCTTGCCAAACTGTCCAACAACTGGATTATACAATTACACATGGAGTTGGTTGAGTTTGGTGGTTTCTCCCCCCCAAAAAATACAAAGGCATATTGTTCAGCACTGAGTGTTTTTAAACAGAAAACACAAAGAGAATGCAAACCAGGGCTGGTAATGGTGCATGGTGGCCTTAATTGCTCCCGAGTTCAATATTAGCTCAGCTAGATCCCAAGCAGCCGGGGTGCAAACTGGAAAGGGCCTCCAAACCAGGAACACCCAACAGAAACTGGTACAGCAGGAAGTGGGGCACAGGAGGCCCTCGCCCCCCGCCTAACGCCGGGAGGGGGGCACATTCCAAGATTATTCCATATGTTCCGAGGGCTGGCTTCTAGCACTTCCACGGAAAGAGGGAAGGACTCGGACCTCAGCTGCTTAGACAGGGACTCCTAGGGAAGCCTGGACGCCAGTTCAACAACATCCAGCGTCCTGGCCAACGTCCAGCCACGAACATCAAAGCCAGACAGTAAAAATCCAGTGGAAAGCAACAGGCTGCTGGGTGCTCATCCCGCCCAGAAGGGCCCACACAGGACTCCACTGCCCGCGGGGGAGGAGACGGGGCCTGGCTGGGTGGGAAGTGTGGAAACAGCCAGAGAAATTGAAGGTCCCTTGCATCCTGGGCGGGCAAGGAGATGCCCGGGGCTGGGCTGGGACAGGGCTGGCCTGGTGGAGGGGATAGGCTGCCTGTGTCCCAGGCCCTGCCCAGATGCCACGTTGAGATGCTCAAGGACAAATGGGAAAGTTTCCTCTTGACTCCCACCTCCAGGGCCCCCCACTCCATCTTCCACCGTCAACTTTCCACTCCCTCTTTGTGGTGGCTGCGGATCCCAGGCTCCCCCTTTTCAGACCCACCTCGGTCACCCGCTTTTCCAGCACCCCTCGTATTCTCTAGTCTCCCTGCACCCCACCCCCCGGTGCTGACGCCCTTCTTCCACCCTGGGCCCGCCCCTCCTGGCTCCCCGCCCGCGATCGGGGTGCTGGGTGGGCCCCTTACTGCCCGGGGAGGGTGTAGACACCGGGGAGGGGGTGACAAGCCCCGATCCCGTCCGAAGTGGCCACTGGTTTTCCAGGCAAGGACCTCTAGGGGCGGAGAACCGTGCCTCTCCGGTTACAAGTCACCCACAGGACAGCCCCCTCCAAGGGTCGCCGCATCCTCCCCGACCCCGGCCCCCGCAGGGCAGGCGCCTCCGCTTACGTGCAATCCTGGTTGAAAGAGAAGCAACTGAGCGCCGGTTCGATCCCGTCCGGGGGCGAGTCCGCGGCCTCGGCCGCCATCGGGGCTGGACCAGGAGAGGCCGCAGCTCCGGGCGGGCGATGGCCACCTCAGCAGCGGATCCACCGGCTACGAAGGCCGGGTCGCCCGGGCCCCCACCCTCCTCTCTAGCTCCGCCCCCTCCCCACCCCGGCTTCGCCCCGCCCCGCCCCTCCGGTCAGGCCCTCGGAGCCGTGCAGCTGACAGGGCGGGGCTCCCTCTCCAGGCTGCTATTGGTCACAAGTGCACGCCGTGGAGGCGGGCGTGCTGTTTCTGCCAATACGCGTTCAGTAAGGGCGGAACAACTTCACTTCCGACCCGCCCCCAAACCCGAAACTGCTCACCATTGGGCAAAAGCGCATGACGCAAGACTACGGGCCACGTGGTAGTGTTTTCATTGCCAGAAAGGCTGGGGGAGAAGTAGGGCGGCTGAGGTCAGAGCTGGCGGCTCATGTCTACTGTCCGCGGCGGGGCCTCAAAGGAGAGTGTAGACGCAGTCCTCTCCACCGACCCAACCCTGTCATGTGCAGCTCTGCATATTAAATTTCGAAAGGGAGCACGCAGAGTAGTGGGAACTTCAGACGCCAGAGCCCCACCCTTTTGTAGAGTCTGCTGCTGCTTTGACAAGTTTCTAAGACAGAGTGTTCAGGCCAGGCAGATAAGAAGTTATCTCATCCACTGCCCTGCCTTTGAGAACTCCTACTACATGTTCAGCGCTGTATGAT